AATAGTGCCTCCCAACGGATAGGTCTTAAGATGAACATGGACAAAACAAAGATTATGTTTAATGTCCATGTCACACCTATGCCGGTAGTTGTTGGGAGCACTATGCTTGAAGTTGTTGACGAGTACGTTTACCTGGGACAAATATTCCGACTAGGTAAGTCCAACTTCGACCGAGAGGTCAATCGACGGATTCAACTCGGCTGGGCAGCGTTCGGGAAATTACGACATATCTTCTCGTCAGGTATACCTCAATCTCTGAAAACTAAAGTGTACAACCAGTGCGTGTTGCCAGTGATGACTTACGGATCAGAGACGTGGTCCTTCACTGCTGGCCGTATGAGGACGCTCAAGGTCGCTCAGCGAGCTATGGAGAGGGCTATGCTCGGAGTTTCTCTGCGTGATAGACTCAGAAATGAGGATATCCGCAGTAAAACCAGATTGACCGACATAGCCCAACGGATTAGTAAGCTGAAGTGGCAATGGGCCGGCCATATAGCTCGAAGAACCGATAACCGATGGGGAAGAAAGGTTCTCGAGTGGCAGCCTCGTACCGGTAGGCGTAGTGTAGGGCGACCCCCCACTAGATGGAGTGACGACCTGGTAAGATATGCAGGAAGTCGATGGATGCAGGTGGCTCAGGACCGTGCTTTGTGGCATTACTTGGGGGAGGCCTATGTTCAGCAGTGGACTTGTGAAGGGCTGTGATGATGATGATGATGATATACATATATATACTGGATGATCTTTTCTACCGTCTGAAAAAAATGTGGGTGTAACACGTGAACGGAGTAGAAGCCTGTGGCACTTATATTTTACAAAAAATTAAAACAAAAAATTTGATTTCTACTGCGTTCACATGATATAATAAGAGTGACAAACGAGCACACAGTCCACATGATCGTAAGTTGATGCTGTGGCCCATATACATCTAAATTTATCCTCGATTAAGAACCAAAACGCAGATGTGTTGTTACTCCTGAAGACTAATATGCAATGCCGCGTTTCCATCCATGAAAAAGGGTCTCCGGATCTCTACACTCACCACACGAAACACATCAGCATTAAGCTGCTATTTTACGCTGGTATTCTGTGAGAGTGTCCTTCCCCGGTCGAGCCGACCTATTCGTGCTACAACCATAACATAGCTGCAGCGTGACTCTACCACATTTCGACAATGTAATTGCAGCCAATTTCAAACAAAGAAGGCCACAGATGCGTTGTGATCTTTGAGGGCTAAGATGAAATGTCACACACCTAATCATTATACTTTTTCTTTATACCCTTCAGACTGTAACATAGCAGTCCTGACACTACTATCTGACAGTAGACATAGGTAAACATGGTGCTATCTACCCAGACGGACTCCTTAAGTTTAAGTTACAGCCTATATACGTCCCACTGCTGGGAACAAGCTTCCCCTCATTTTTGAGAGGGTTTTATGGCAAGGAAGTGTCCGTCGTGCCGCCCCAATGCGTGTTGGCGAACTTCACATGTCTTCGAGATATTTTTTTCTTATTTTTTAGAGTTGCAGGTTTCCTCACGATGTTGTTCTTTACCGCCGAGCACGTGGTAAATCAGGACTTAAAATTGTGAGCCAGGGTTTGCTCGCGTACTGTGTAATTTACAGCGAGCGCTAACCATCTGAGCTACCCGGACGGACTCCTATAAAATTTAAATGGCTATTACTGCGTGCACTATCACTGCTATCACTATATCCGAAACTGGGATATACTGCAACACTCTAAACACTACACCAAAAATACCGTTGTCGATAAAATGACACGTTTTTCGGTTTTTAAGAGAGGTACCATTACAAATTAGTAGACTCCGCGATTGTTAACCGTTTAGTAACCTAATGAATGATTGATATTGATAGATCCAATAAAATGTATATGTATATAAAACCGATTTCGATGAATTTTTTTTTCGTGCGTTTGAGTGGGACCCTAAATAATTTAGTTTCATCACAGTTGGGTCCGGTAGGGGCGCTGTTGTCAAGATTCAGAAATCACCCGTGCACAGCCGGGGCTAATCACTAGTTTTCAATAAATACCATTACAATACATAACTTTGTTACCATTTGAGGGACATTCTAACAATCTCGTTTAATTATCATTAATTAGCGTCGTTAATTGGATCGGATTTGTTTTTGTCTGAGTAATTGACTTGAATTAACTAAGCGAAATATTTATTTCAGAAAGTGGAAATAAATACTTAATTAATACGGTTAATTTAATAAGTTTGTAGAAACTAAGGGGATTTACTTTTATAACTAGGATTCTCTACAAGTAAGTAAAAACTTTATTTAAAAGTTTTAAAAATAACTTTTTTTTAAATCTTCATATTAGAACACAGATGTGAGTGAATTGATATAGCAGTATTAATAAAAAGAAATATTTAATTATATGTAAATACCTTACAATATTATGAGTGCAGTGTCGCGCTTGGGACGTACTGAGAAGAACCAACTTGTTTTAACCAGCTTGTTAAGTTTCCGAAGTGTGCCGACCCCTGTGATATATCAAAGAGCCATTGTAGCTCAGATGGTTAGCGCTCGATCATTTCACAGAACTCGACCAACCCGGGTTCGATCCTCAAAACCAATGAAATTGTTAATTGCAATTTTAAGTGCTGATTTACCACGTGCTCGGCGGTGAAGGAAAACATCGTGAGGAAACCTGCACGCCGTCCTGCGGTGATACATTGTGGCAGAGCGGCGATCACTTCTTTGCCCTAAAACACTCTCAGAAATAAGAGGAGGCCCGTGCCCAACATTGGGACCTATCTAGGCTGTAATTAACTTTAACGTCATCATATATGTATGATGTTTTTCCTAATAAAAATTAAATCTTTTATATACTCCACCCTTATCAAACGGTATCATAACTTCACCTTAACTATCATTATTTAGTCCAATATTACGCCCTTGTAAGCACGGACTTACGTTACCTATACTATTATTCGGTAAACTACCTTGCTTATGTCAAACGCTTAAATGATACCCTTTGTATAATTAATATGTAGAAAGTGGACTGAATTGTATTTCAATAGTATTAATAACGGCATAGACTTACACACAATTGCCGAATCAGCCAACCGAAAATACATTTAGAGTTCTCTCAACGACTTTATAAAATCTACAGGTTCAGGAGGAATATTTTTTATGATATTGCCAGTTCATGAGCTAGCGTGTAATTATTTCGCGGTGGTACGCCACGAAATTGTTGATGGAATGGTTAAATAATTAAGTTCTATACCGCGAAGTCACGCCATATTGCAACACAGAATGATTAGAAGTCACCTAGACTTCCATACAGCAGTCAACATATATGTCCTATCAAAGATCAGATATCTATTCAGACATCTATTAGTATGATCTGACTAATTGCAATAGATTTACTCTGAATAACTTTATGTTTTACACGATTTTTATCAAACAACTTAAAGTAGTTAGTGTCGTGCGATGTCATCTTTAGACATTAAAGTGTGACTTATTGAAACACTCAAAAGATCTCAGGACTAATTGACTAATCTTAAATATCTGACCAGTAAAGTAAAACACATTTACTTCTAGAAGTTTACTGTTACGAAATAATAATCTAACTACTTAATATGGTAGTTATTGGGGCGGGCAAATGACAAAGACATGGTAACAAAGAATTAATTTTAATTTATAATTCATCTTGTTTTTTTTTCATTCATTTGTTGGCCCAAAATGGCTTTTTGGAAACTTCTACGAGTAGTCACTATTTATTAGGATCCAGAACTTTTGCAAAATATAGAGTATACATGTATATAATGCGGGTGAGTATAACGTATTTGAGAACTGAACTGGCGATCAATGTATGCAAAGTAAATTATTTGGCTTTACCGAATATATATTTAAAAGTAGTGGGCCTATTTAACACCTGTAGGTAAACCGGTAATCGCTAATAATAGCATTTCGAAACTATACCACACCAATTGACTACATTAATTGCCAACGCTCAAAATTTATCATGCATAAACGTAGGAATGAGAAACAATACAAAAATATTCATTGTTCATTTTAAATGCGATGAAATTTATGATCCTGTACAATTAAATTTCAGCATTGATTAATTTACTTAATTAAATTACATGAGTAACCGAATGAATATCAATTCGCAGAACATAGTGTATGTAAAATATACATATAATAGACACGTTGTTGCTCAGAGGCTATCAGAAATAAGAGGAAGCTTGTGCCCAGCTGTGGGACGTATGTAGGACGTATGTCTGTAACTTTACTTTTTATAAACATACAGCGTTTTCGTAGTACAATACTTTATTCAAAACTCACAAACCCAAAATCTTGTTGATGATTAGACTAATAAATGAGTTCTGAAATTAATAATATGAAATAATAATTTATTTAATTTTACACGAATGAGAACTGACGTTATATAATTGTTATGCAAGATTTAAAACCTTATTACATGTCGTGTAACGTTTGTCAGAACTTTCGTTCAAATTATTTTCTGATATACATATCCAAGATGAACGTTAAGTTGATGGCATGCCACACGCAATGTTACTTCATTTCTTTGGTCATAATAATTCCAAAAAGTATTAGACAACATGTAACTATTTTCATAAAACTAAATTGAAATACACTAACATACTTTTGTTTTTTGCTACACCTATTATTTTGAGGTTTCTTCTAATTTTGAATAATCAGACAGTGAATTCCACCAACTGTTACTGTTAATTTGTAGACAAAATACTACTTATAATAATCTATACTTACTATTTTTATCTATGTTGCCGACATCTTTGAGATAAAATAAAGCAATTGTATATATAGACCCTTATTACTGGAAATGAGGCATTCCACCTTAGTCTTCGAGGGTGACAGTGCATATGCATTTGTATTCTTAATTGAAGGTAGATTTAGATGTCTATAGACTACAGCTTCTTTATCATTCACGTTTAACACCCTCCTATAAAAATATGATTTAAAATGTTTATTTTCTTAACAGGTTTCTCATCAGTCATACCTGGATACCCTCGCTACACAATGTTCGGTGACAGGCGGCATGGTGTTTACAACCTTCGGATAGTCAATGCCACGCTAGAGGATGACGCGGAATACCAGTGTCAAGTTGGACCTGCTCAGATGCACAAGGTTATAAGAGCCAACGCTTCCCTGAACGTTATATGTGAGTACACTTACATTATTTGTCTCGTAATAAATACCTTTTACATAAAATCAGGCATGCTTATGTAATAAACTACTCTAAAATTACAATTTGATATTATTTATCTTTGTTTATCGATCATGGCAATTTAAAACTTCCACTAAAATTGTCTTGTTGACAGAAATTCTTTGAATGTGTTACAACCAAGTGCTGCTGTTAGCATTATTGGTAGAAGATTTGAAATTAAATTGGGATTAATCTAAGTTTTTTTCCTTTTATAGCATATAGAGTTTCAAGAAAATATTAAAAAAACTGTCATAGCTATAATATTAAGTACATTAAAGTGCATAAAAAATCTAGGTTAAACTAATAAAAACATAGTAAAATTTCGTAAAAAATTGTGATATGGCTATTTTGATATATGCCAGACTACCGAGAGCAGCATTATCTGCTTCCAGGTGTGGCGGTAACAGTAAATCTATTATACAATAGAAGACCCTTATTTATCGCACTAGATTTTAAAGAATATATATATTCTTTTAAGATAAATAAAGATTATGAATTGAAATAGTTAAGTCACAGGTGTGTTTTATGTGTTTTTTCTTCTTACATGAGAGTTATATGAGCTTTTTTAAATGACAGATATAAGAACTTTTTCTAAAGGAGAGTTTTGTGAGCTTTTTCTTAATGATTTTTGTCATTTATTAAAACTTCAACCGCTTATCAACAAAAAGATCGGGAAGCCATATTTAAACTTTCTCAATTTTCTTGAGATCAATAATATTTATAAATCCACCTCCTCTCCTATACAATTTAATTATTCTCATGAAAGTGGCTTCTCTCAAAGACATTTTGAAATCAAATACGCGACTTTTATACGTTTCCTCCTTTCTTTGTTTTGAATGGATCTTGAAAGAATTTTTTTGTCGGCATAGACATTTTTGCGGCAAAACGAATTTTCTGAAATATATTATATGTACAAATATAAGAAGAATTTTAAAAGGGCAAGGAACTCGTTGATCCAATTTTCATAATATTAATTTTTATCCGTATGCTAGCGGTGTAAGGATATCCATTCCTCCATATCATCCCGTGGATGTCGTAAGAGGCGACGTAGGGAAACAAATCAGGAGATAGGCAGCTGCATATTGCTAATAACGACTAAATATTTTAAAAAAAACTGCAGTTGCCCGCAAGTAAAAATCAATTGCCGTCCGTTATTCACGCTAAAACCCAAAAACGGTTCAACTGATTTGAGATTGAATAGGTCTAAATGTGAATTGGCTTAAATTCACATTCGGAACCTGTAGATAGCGCTGTTGTCGAGTACAATAAATCACACTTGCGAAGCCAAGGCAGATCGCCAGTATATTGATATATATATATATATATATATATATATATATATATATATATATATATATATATATATATATATATATATCATCATCATCATTATCATCATTACAGCCCTTCACAAGTCCACTGCTGAACATAGGCCTCCCCCAAGTAATGCCACAAAGCACGGTCCTGAGCCACCTGCATCCATCGACTTCCTGCATATCTTACCAGGTCGTCACTCCATCTAGTGGGGGGTCGCCCTACACTACGCCTACCGGTACGAGGCTGCTACTCGAGAACCTTTCTTCCCCATCGGTTATCGGTTCTTCGAGCTATATGGCCGGCCCATTGCCACTTCAGCTTACTATGCCGTTAGTATTAGGCTATGTCGGTCACTCTGGTTTTACTGCGGATATCCTCATTTCTGAGTCTATCACGCAGAGAAACTCCGAGCATAGCCCTCTCCATAGCTCGCTGAGCGACCTTGAGCGTCCTCATACGGCCAGCAGTGAAGGACCACGTCTCTGATCCGTAAGTCATCACTGGCAACACGCACTGGTTGTACACTTTAGTTTTCAGAGATTGAGGTATACCTGACGAGAAGATGTGTCGTAATTTCCCGAACGCTGCCCAGCCGAGTTGAATCCGTCGATTGACCTCTCGGTCGAAGTTGGACTTACCTAGTCGGACTATTTGTCCCAGGTAAACGTACTCGTCAACAACTTCGAGCATAGTGCTCCCAACAACTACCGGCATAGGTGTGACATGGACATTAAACATGATCTTTGTTTTGTCCATGTTCATCTTAAGACCTATCCGTTGGGAGGCACTATTGAGGTCATTGAGCATAGTGCTTAATATATATGTATATATATATATATATATATATATATATATATATATATATATATATATATATATATATAATGACTGCCTCGTTGGTCTAGTGGTTGTAGTAGTGCGACTGCTGATCATGAGGTCCGATGTTCCAATCCCAGTTTATAATTTACTACAATCGAGTAGGGCCAAAAATCAATTATTGAGTTTTTCCGTCAAGAAATTCTAAGTAGCTGCCCGGAGTCAGGAAATTGGCGGTGTCTCACTCCGTGCCTCGGAAAGCACGTAAAGCCGTTAGTTCTGCGCCTGATCTCTCTCCGGTCGAGTCGGTTTACCGTCCTATCGGATTATGAGAGTGAGGGAATAGAGAATGCACTTGTGCTGTGCATACACTTGGGCACTATAATCCTGTCCTCCGCCGATGGCTAGCCTCCGTTGAGACAGGCCGCCGTGGCCGGAATTCGGTCTGGAGAACATTATTATATAAAATAATATTATATAATAATGTATTTGCTGTGTGGTGGTTTCGCAGGCGAATCCAATACCCCGTATTTCGTCATAGGTCTTCACCTTAGATTGTCTATATGGTGAATATTTGCCATAGTTGCCACACTTGGTAAACAGATTGGCAACCGTAGTTTTTATTTTTATTTTGAATCTTTATTAGAAAAACGCTGCTGTCTATCGCTTGATATGTTTTTTCTTTGTCGTCTCTTACGACACCCGCGGGTTGATAAGCGGTTATTATACTTACACGGCCACTACACGCTTTCATGCGAGCGTCTCATAATAATTAAAAAGCAACTAGTTTCAAATGAACTTAAATATAAGTTTTCCAATACGTTTCTAAATCCCAACGAACTCTATTTGCTATAATTATTAGTACTAATTGACGCTTAAAGTATTACTGTGATTTACTGTTTGCGGTCCCTCGCCAAAGTGGCTGAAACCACTGGCTTTTAAAGCTTCTTTGTTGAATTAAACCGTGTAGTTGGCGATTTAGGAATATCCGCTACACCATATCATCCCATGTGTATCGTAAGAGATAGAGGGAAATGAAATGGGAGATGGGCAGCAGCGTTTTCCGGATAACGACTAACAATAATAAAAATCACTTCGATTGCCATCCCGCCCGCCAAGCATGGCATCTATGATATTCCTTTCTACCTATGAGGCAATCTATGGAGGAGTCCTTTGTTCAGCAGTGGATTTTGATAGGCTGCATAAAATGAATGAATGATTTTTTATTAACTCTTTTAGTAATTTATACATAAAAATAATGTTCTTCTCGCCTGTAACTCAACCTCGTAAAATCCGGTTGAAAAAAAGATGAAATATAGTAGTGACTGCCGCGTTGGTCTAGTGGTTGTAGTAGTGCGACTGCTGATCCTGAGGTCCTAGGTTCGAATCCCGGTCGGGCCAAAAATAAATTATTGGGTTTTTCTGTCAAAAAGTTCTCAGTTTTTGCCCGGAGTCAAGAAGTTGGCAGCATCTCACCCCCGTGCCTCGGAAAGCATGTAAAGCCGTTGGTCCTGTGTCTGATCTCTCTCAAGTTGTGTCGCTTTACCGTCCTATCCGATTATGAGAGTGAGGGAATAGAGAGTGCACCTGTGCTTGCGGATACACTCGTGCACTATAATCGTGTCCGGCATCGATGGCTAGTCTCCGGTGAGGCTGGCCGCCGTGTCCGAAATTCGATCTGGATGACCTTATTATTATAATAGTATACAGTTAGTTGAAATATAGATGAAAGTAATAATTTTAACAACTCTCTCACTCTTTTCTTTTCGAGATTGCATCGAATCGAATATGAGAAGGTATAAGACTCCATTAGTCCAAGATAAATATGGCCATTCTTATAGTAGGATATGTGTTTAGAATTTAGACTTCTTCATCCAATAAACGTCAAAGAAGAATGCGACACACGCCAAGGTTTTAGATTTTTTTAGTTATTAATCGAGCATATATTTTTGCATTATGGATGATAATAACCCTTGTGAAAGGTGATCGCTACCAAGCTATTTCTAATTTGTTTTGTGTTGTTAATTGTAACATATATGATTATAAGCTGTTACTTTTTTTATTCCGCTGGATTTCTTGCTGGTTCATCCTAGGACAGAGGTTTTTTTCCGAACCAATGGTAAATTAAGAAAAAAGTTACTTTCAATAAGTATTATTTATAATCTATATTTAATAAAAAAGTTTCTGTTTCTGTTTCTATATGTGTATGAGATATAAATGTCTTTTTCTGATAAAATTCCATCTGGGTAGATACCACTCTTTTTATTTCTGCCACCTAATAGCACTGTTTGCATTGAAATACTACTGTTTGCAAGAAAAAATATGCATTTATTTGCCAGAAATAGACGTGCACATAACAAATTTAGGTAATAACAAAAATAACATAGAAATAATTTTAAACACACTAATAAAACAAGAAATCTAACTTATCGGAAATATAAAAAATAAAATTATGAACATCAATGTGCTTTAACCCATAAATAATTATGTTTAGAGACTACTTTTCTATGAAGAAGTTTGGCATTATAGAATCAATGTGAAATTTTCTATCCTCTAGTGGATTAAAAAATAGTTAGTCTATGGATATTAATTTATATTCTACGTTCATTACGTACGCTATTTTCATTTGGATGTTGTTTTGTTGATTTTTGGATTTTTCTAGTGTTTTACTAACACTATTGTTTTGTTATAAACGTTTTGTGTGAATATAATTTATCTTTTTATGAAATAAATTCGAGTATAGAAATAATTGTGATTTTCACGTTGCCGACATCCGTTTGAAATGTTTTTTTTTTTGTTATAAAAATACAATAAAATCTTTT